TGCAAACAACGTGTAACTTCAACTGTCTTCAGAAAGACTTTCTAAGGGCTTTCAGGATACCTTTACAGTAATTCTAAGAAACTGGAAGATAGGTTCCGACGTCAAGAGCTAGGCTTTGGGGATGGTATTATCAGAAACCAAAGCGCGAAAACACTTGAACCCAAAACCCTAAACATGAATGTAGGGGCCTAAATAAGTACCAATACTATTCGGGGGGGGTTCCTTATTATTATAATTATAGTATAATCCAAAACCCTAAACCCCTAATCATCATCTACTTATCCATCCTCATGCCTTGCTTCAAATAACCCGCATTCACGCGGCGGCGCTGTCCTCCTCGACCATCTCCTTCAGGAAGCGCACGGAAAACTGCCACTGATCCTGACACGCTAGGATGGGGTGGGCTACGCACCCCTAAAGCCCTATAGAGCCCTATCACCCTCCTGCCACAAACAACGAACCCCCAAGCCGAACGCCCGTCGGTTTGCTACGAGGCTTCAAAAGGGAGTCCTTGCGCTAAACACAGGCTTTCACGGTTAGCGGCCTATCCTGAACTCGACACAGTTCACCCTTCCTGAGCGCAAACCCAAATCCGTAAAGGCTAACTTTGTACACCCCTAAGCGTGAGATTGAAACCCTCCGCTTGCAGCCCACCGGTGATCAAGGCAAACTATCACTAGCTTGAAAGTGTTCAGAATTCCGGGTAAGTGTTCAGAATTGAGGGTAGGTGTTTGGAGTTCAGAAATGCTTGGATTTTCTTCGCGTTTCCGGTTTCGCAAACCCAACATCACAGGGATCCTACCCTAAACCCTAAACCCCTACACCTTGAAGGCTTCCTTAAAGGGATCTACATAAGGGTTTCTATGGCGGTTCTAGAAGGGTTCCACATGGCTAGTTTTTTAAATTCGGGGGCCCCATTAACCCAAAAGGCTCCCTATGAGCCGGATTTTGGGATTTCCGAAAGTAGGGGGCCCTAGTATATACTACCCCAAAGAGTAGGATCCTGATTATAAGGTACCCCGTATTTTCGGAAACTCCCATATCTTGGTTGCCTTGCCAGTGCTCGGGTTCCTGCTACAAGGGATCCTTTTCGGTTTGAGTTTGGGCTTCCCTTGGGGTTTATGAAGCTATTCGGGGCTTTGGTGCCCTGCTAACCCGAAACCCTACACGCACAGAATACGGTCTAGGGGCATATTGACTCATACATTATGCAGGGACTACAGCGGGATGTATCGAAATTCATGCCTGCAAAAACCTATGCAATTCCTCAAAGAACCCTGTGGCAGAACCCAGTTTCAAGAAGTACGGCCCCACCATACCCTAAACCCTAAACCCTAAGACCTGCTTGCAGGTAAATGCGTTCGGGCGGCACATTTCACGCAGCTGAGGACCAGCTCGCGGTAGTCATGCCGCGATAGATCCATCTCCTGTAGAGAGCTGCTTTGGTTTTGGGTTTTGGGTTTAGCTCCCGTTTTATTGTCTGTCGTTTGTGGTGTTACGGTCTATAAACGGCCCCGGAGTGCAGCTGCAAGTCAATCCTATCATCGTAAAATATACTGGAGGGTCGATCGTACACCGTAAGCCCTGAAAACAAAAGTGGATATCTAGAGGCTCGAAGACTGTCCGGGCCGGTGCATTCGCTTTCACGAGTGGGATTGAGTTTAGGGTTTGGGGGTACGGCTGCGAGTTCAGGCGGGAACAGCAACAGTGGCGAGTCCCTACTGGCCCTAAACCCCAGTTCTTGGACCCTGAGCCCTCGCGCCTGGGCATTCATGCGACTCAGGATGTGTAGCGACGCCTGGCAATCGCAAAACCACTGGTCAAAAGGCACTGGTCAGATGTAGTCGCACGGCAGTCGCGAGCATCCAGATCAATCGAATTTTCAGGAAGGAAACAAAGCGGCTGCATCCTCCTGGAAACGTTTTTGGACGACACCTTGATCAAACACTAGGAGGATCATGGGACTTAGTAAGTACGGTTGTAAGTCCCCTAATTGGGGTTATAAGTATAGTTACCTTAGTTATAACCCTACTTACTAAGTCTCATGATCCTTTAAGTACATGTTTTGACATACAAGGACCATTCCTAAACCCGACACTGTCATCCTGCCTCCCACTGCAGAGAGCGGCACATGGCGAAGAGTGCCCCCGAGAAGGGCAAGGATGGCTTGACCTTTCATCGGGTTGTTTTAGGCAGCTTTGGCAGTTCTTGCATGGTCTAAACCCTAAACCCTAAACCCTATAGGTAGTGGGGTCTTCAAGGTTCTACGAGGATTAGTGGGGGCTTCTTGAAGTTGTCGCAGGACTTTTGTAGTACAGCCTGTTATAGGATCCTCAGAGAGATTGATTTGTGTTGCAGGGTTCTACAGGCTGTTCATATAGAGATTTCGGAGGGCTTCAAGGGACAAGGATTACTTGGACTTAGTAAGTAAGCTTATAAAGTCCCCTAATTGGGGTTATACGTATAGATACCTTAGTTATAACCCTACTTACTAAGTCCCATGATCCTTTACGTAGGGTTTAGAGGTCAGGTTCGAAGGCTTAAGCTTATAGGCAAGGTTTAGAGTCTTTAAGTTTTTAAATCTTCCACCGGAATTAACAGGTGACTTAAGACTAAAGGGGTGCAGCTCCATTTCTCGAGGCGAAGTATGTGTTTACTAGGTTGTGTAATGGGTTTTGGACAACGAGGAAAGGTTTACTAATCACTAAACCATGCTTACAGTAGTTGCCCCAAACATATGTATTCAAAACCCTGACAACGCCAGGCCATTCCGAGGACTCCATACAGAGATCAGCTAGGCTAGCTGTGGCACCGCTTTAACAACAAGTATGCTTAGAATCGACCCCAATCAGCGCAGAAGCAGGATAAGTAAATAACCTCAAGTCGCAAGGAACGGCCCAGGAAACGGAACAGTAAACCCACCGGACCCCAAAATCCTAAAGCAAATCATAGGGGCGAGTTAGGAGGTTCATACATGTCTTGTGCTGGGGCTCGGGAGGAGACTGCATTCCTGCGGGCTCAAGTTCTTGATCCTCGAAACCCCTTAAACTTTAAACTCTAAACCCGATACGTAGCTGTCTGGGCGGAGCACGGACGACGCCCGCTGTGCTTGCTCAAAAATCTGCAAGGACTCCTCACTGGGCCAGGCCAGCCTAAACTAATCTAGACCCAAACCCTGCCAGAACCCTAAAGAAAAACTTATGTAAGTCCTAGAAAGGGTACCTCTAACCGAAAGCCGAAGGAACCACCCTCTTCGGGGTTCCTTATTGTGGTTATACGTGTATATATATATATATAATACCTCAAAGAGGTGCGTTTTTGGGGGCCACCGGGAGGGAGGTCTTATAGCAATTAGAACAGAGTTCCTTTGGGGGGGTGTATAAGGGCCGCACAGGGCTTTTACAGGGGTCTTGGGTTACAAGGGCCGGAATGATTAGCGTAGGGTGTTGGAGTAGATTATATCGTAATGATATAGGGAAAACCATAAGGGGGATACTTACAAGGGCCGCAATGATTAGTGTAGGGTGTTGGAGTAGAGCATCTCGTACTGATATTGGGGACCAGAAGGGGGATACGGCGACTCTTCGCAGTGAGTCAGACCCCTCTGCTAAGCCTTGAACCCCGAGGTTGGCTATCCGCAGCCTGACCTTAACAAGCCTGAACTCATCCGAAATGTCGTCGAAAAGAGTAGGTGTTTATCTTTTTTGTTTAAAGTTGGGGTGACGGTCTTTTTGTTCGTCTGCACGCCTCGGCTCCCAAGCGAGAGATGTTGACATATGCCAAATCATCCCACTGAAGAGTAGGGTTTAGGGTTTAGGGTTAAGGGCTTCCCAAACTCTAAACCCAAAGCCGTAGGGTTTAGAAAAAGCTCCTCCCAAGCACCGCTGAGGCCGTACCATTTGATGGCGTGTGACCAGCCTGCTGTGCGATGCGAGTGTCGTAGATGATCGCACTGTGGGGACGACATATAATGTAGGGGCCTTAATAATTTGGCTAGGGTTTTGGGGCCGTTATACTATCACCGTAATACGGAGCCCCCACAATAGTATTGGCAATTATTGAGGGCCCTATATTACACCTATAACCTATCTATCTGTCTAGCTAACTTTCTGCACTGTAAGAAAAGCATGCACCTTAAACTTACGCAGATCTGCAAAAAGATCTTCTAGATCTCTATCTATATACACACACACACATGTGAGAGAGAGAGAGAGTACATGTGTGAATGCGCATACTGACATTCTGATATGTAGACACACACATATATATATATATATGTATATATATATATATACATACACATAAATGTATGCAAAGAGACGCACACTTCAGGATTTAGCGGTTCGGGGTTTAAATAGCGGGCACACCAGCGACTCCAAGTCCGTCTTGTTCATATACACAGGTGTTTCGATTCGCTTGTAGCATGTGCTACAGGGCTGTATGAAAGATTGAAGGAAGAGACTAATGAAGCATGGGTTGTCAGGCTTGCATGGAGGGGTTTTGGCGTCCCAGATGCAGCCAATGTTCCCCAGCATACGAGCTACTGTTCCGTAGAATCCGCAGGAAAGGGATTCAACGATCCATGAAAAAAACCATATACCTCTAGTCTCCATTGTAGTTCCTTTTTTGGGGATACCTTATAAAAATCCTTAGCATAATATTGGTTAAACCAAAAAAAGGAACGACAATGGAGACTATAGATAAAACCTGAACTTGAAACCCAGTGCAGAGCTGAGGCAAAGGCAGAGTGAATCCGGGGCGAGGTTCATCGTGCTCATATCCTGCCGAGAGTGGTGGTTGTCGTTTTCAGGCGTAGGATTTCTGGGGGTTTAGAGTTAAGGGTGTACTATCTATATATATATATATACAGGGTTCAGGGTTCCTTGTTATAACTATAGTATAATATACCCCCAAACCCTCTCAAAATTGTTAAGGCCCCTATATTCGGGTTAAGGGGATTTAGGGGATCTGGGGCCAAGCTTGTCAGGTTGTTCGGGTTTGGGATTGAGAACCCTGGGATGCTGTAGCTGAGCTTTAGCACCAACGCTCTGCAGATGTGTTTCTTCGGCTTAGGGTCCCTGGGGTCTAGGGTTTAGGGTTTAGGGGTTTAGAGTTTAGGGTTTTATTGTTTAGGGTTTAGAGGTTTAGGGTTTAGGGTTTAGGGGTTTTGGGTTTAAGGGTTTAGGGTTTAGGCTTTAATTAGGGTTTCGGGCTTCGGGGTTGTGGGCTTTGGCAGGGCTTCGGTGTCCTCTGCTGTTCTGGAATGGCGTCCTTTTGAAAGCTCGTCAAGCCTTCGGGACCTGTTGGCCTCGCCCCAAGCGTTTTGGGGTTTGAACACGCTTGCACCCTAAACCCTAAGACCTAATCCCCAAAATCTGAAGCCGAACCACCCTAAGACCTAATCCCCAAAATCTGAAGCCGAACCCTGAATCCCTAAACGCCAAGACCCAAAGGCCTAAACCCTAAGCCCCAAAAGCCGAAACCCTAAAACCCTAAACCCTAAACCCCAAAAGCCTAACCCTAAACCGCTAAACCCTAAAAGCCCCAAACCCTAAAAGCCGAAGGGATTGCAGATCAAGCCCAAGAATAGGTTGGTTTAGGGCTTTTCGGGTTTAGGGTTTCAGGGTTCAAGGTTCAAGATTTTCGGGTGTAGGGTTTCAGGGTTCAGGGTTTATAGGGTTTCAGGGTTTGGGGTTTTAGGATGTGGGAGTCGGCCCTTATAGCCACGTTTACTTATCACCCTGATTAAGGTACTTATATTTAAGCAGGTCCATGATCCTCAAGTGCGGGACCGTGTTAGTGAATAAGAACCTCTTAAACTCAATAGTGGAAAACACACCAAATCCCAAAGGTCGACTAGAAGGGCCCTTATAATGGGAACAGGGTTTTCGGTTTTGGGGTATACGATACTATGCTTATGCTCAGGAACCCCCAAAATAGTCTGAGTAATTATTCAGGCCCCTGGCCACTCTAAACCTTTGGGCCCCGACTTGAGCATCCCAAAATAGAGACTGAAGGAATGCTTTCAAAGCCCAATAGAACCCTACAAAACCCTGTAAAACCTACAACACCTTATGCAGCCATAAACGAAAACATATATATACATATGTACATATGTATGCATATAAATATACATGTATATATCTCTAGATATATATATATGTATGTATGTACGTATGTATGTATGTATGTATGTATGTATGTATGTACGTATGTATGTGTGTATGTATGTATGTATGGATGCATGTATGTATGCATGTGTGTATGTATTTCTGTAGATTTGTATACCGCTCATGTATATATATATATATACATATATCTGCATGAATGTGTGTATATATATATATATATATATTTATGTATATATATATATATATGTGTGTGTGTATATATATACATATACGTGCATGCATAAACATATTCATACATGTATGTATATACATACATGCATACATACATACATACATACATACATACATACATACATGCATACATATATAATGCCCCCCACCCTTCGGTTATCAACGTCTGTTCCTTTCCCTGCGATCGTTTCACATGGGAATCCATTTCGCTGTGAATCCTCCACCTTCGATCGTTACCATCATGCATCTTCAATTTGGTTGGCTTCCAACTCAAGCGGGTTCAAGGCAACTCAAGCCATGTATCCCTAAACCCAGCCGGTTAGGAGCTATCATCGCACCAAGAGTTCGACCACACCTCTTAGATGTGATTCAAGATTCTACCAGACTACTGCATCTTGTTTTTAAGCAACGGGGTGGTAACATGCACATTGTCGGGGCATACGCCCCACATTCAGGGCTTGATTATGAAGAGGTTAGAGCACCA